GACCCACGACCCCCCCCCCCCCCCGCCCCACACTGGAAATGAGGAGTCTTAACCACTGGACCACCAGGAAAGTCCCTCGTTAGTTTTCTTGTATAGCTATTTGCAATAGCAGCAAAACCAGGTGCCTTGGGACTTCCCTGGTGGTGCAGTGGTGAAGAATCCGCCTGCCAATTCAGGGGACATGGGTTCGAGCCGTGGTCCGGGAAGATCCCACATGCCGCAGAGCAGCTAAGCCCATGCGCTACAACTACTGAGCCTGCGCTCTAGAGCCCGCGAGCCACAACGACTGAAGCCTGCGTGCCTAGAGCCTGTGCTCCGCCACAAGAGAAGCCACTGCGATGAGAAGCCCCTGCTCACTGCGACCAGAGAAAGCCCGCACGCAGCAATGAAGGCCCAACACAGCCAAAAATTAATTAATTAATTAATTAGGAAAAAACGAACCCAGGTGCCTCAGAATAAATCTGACCATAGACGTCCATGGTCTTATGGGGACGTTAATGACACTGTGAACACGGGAGTGGTGGCCCTTGTTTCTGGAGAGGAGGGTCTGAGCTGTAAAGCTCCCCATCATCTGCCCATCTGGATCCAGCAGGGCTTCTGTGGCCCTTGCCAAGCTGTTTAAAATGTTTATACAGAAGAGCAGAGATTTTACGTGGTCAGGAATCGCCAAGGTGGTTTTAAAGCCACAGGTCAGGGGAATTCCCTGTCGGTCTAGTGGCAAAGACTTGGCGCTGTAACTGCTGTGGGCCCGGGTTCCATCCCTGGTCAGAGAACTAAGATCCCGCAAGCTGCATGGCACGCCCACAAAAATTAAAATAAAGCCGCAAGTCGGGCACAGGGACAGGCAGACAGCAGTGGGACAGAGCAGGGAAGGCCCAGCAAGCCTCCCACGTCCCGAGGAAGAGTTGATGTGGACGCAGGGGACAGTCTGTGGGAGAACGGTGATGTCACGGTGTGGCCGTGGCAGCAGGGGATGAGGGCAAAGGCCAGTCCGCACCCAGCCTCGCGGAGCCCGTGCTGCCTGCTCCCTGCAGGGCAG